TGAGCAGCTGTTTTGTCTCCAACCTTTTGTCTCTTCCTGCCCCTCCCCCTCGCTCTCTCTCTATCTCCCTCCTCTCTCTCTCTCACACACACACACATTTCTCTGTCATGCAAGGAACAAACTGCACTGGTTATTTATGGAGAACCTCCTCGCTTTGTCGAGTGCTGGAGTTCATATGCAAGTTTTGGTCCCATGCGTGCAGGTGCAAGCGTCTGCATAGACTAGAGTGAGAGTAGTGTGCTGCCTGGTAGGATAGGAGTGCCTAGCTAGCTAGCTCTGAAGAGTGAAGAAGCCAGACTTGTCTCCAAGGTGATCTTGGGACATGACAATGGCGGCCGGAAGAGATCAGAGGGTCGAAGGGGTGAGGCAGTACAACAGGTCCAGGGTGCCTCGACTGAGATGGACGCCCGACCTCCACCGCTGCTTCGTCCATGCCATACACACTCTTGGAGGCCAGTACAGTACGTATAGGCAGCAAGCATACCCCTCTAAGCTCACTTCATCTCTTTGCTTGCTTTCTCTCTTGTTTTTGTTGTGCTCAAGCTTGGCTAGCTGTTGCTAACTGCTGGTATTTTGCTTGTGCAATGCGTGCGGACGATTCTTCAGGGGCTACACCTAAGAGAGTTTTGCAGCTGATGGGGGTGGCAGGGCTCACCATATCTCATGTCAAGAGCCATCTACAGGTTTGCATGCGCTTGACGATGCTTACTGCAGGTCTGTGTGCAATGTTATCCTCTCTTGGTGTGTGGTTGATATGTTGTGTGTGCTTGTTAAAAACAGATGTACAGGAACATGAGGGGTAATGATCTTGACATGATGCAAGGTACGCAGTAATATGAGAAGATTAGTCTTGTTCCTGTAATCATCATCAACTTTTTATATCTGTATAACTGTGTGTGCATGCCCAAGATAATGTGCACATACACTTCAATCTGGCTAATAGTAGCCTGATTAATAAATTGTCAAAGAAAACAACATATAATTTTCCTCTCTTCTTGCTGATAACGCAGCAATAAGCTGCTACATGGAAGTGCATCATTAGGCTCATTCTCATGTCATAGATACATGTGCATGCATGCATGCCTGGCAGGCACACTTCTAAACAGCCATCTGCACATTCGTTGTGTCCTAAAGAAAAGCCACAATTAATTAAATGCTACAAGAAGGTGGTACTTTTATTCTCCATGCATGCATGCATGCAGCAATGAGCCAAAAGCCTAAGCAGTTCTACCAATCTCTTTTCTTGTGATGGCCAGGCATTCAGCAAATGGATCAGGAGCACACATTCGCAGGAGGAGGCATGGAAGTTTGGACAGATATGCAGCAAGTTCATCATCATAGTGAGTACTGTGATGGACCCTATTGCAGGTGCCACTCTACAAAGCATACAAAGGGGTCACTGCTCCACCACCCCCAACTGAAAAGGTCATTGCCTTTCTTCTCTCTCTCTCTCTCTTGCGATCCATTGTTTTGCCAATATCCCTAGCCCATCAGTCACATCATGAACCATTCCTTGATTCTTTCACCTCTCACATGACTGAATGAATGCATGATGACAAGAGAACAGCAACACCTGTGTTGGCACTGCACAAACTTTGCATTCCTTTTGCATGCTTGCTGCATGAGGGCTCCATCACATATTCCTACCTAGGATGCCTAGAGATGCATACTGTGCTGATGTTTGGTACATGGGCGTTTGCATGCCTACAAGTAGAAAGTGAGGTAGCTTTCACAGACTGTAGTATACTGGTGCACTCTGGTAGGAATATGCGGAGTGAAGAATTATTGACCAGCCTACTTTGGTCACATCATCACTACCTCTTTTTTCTCATTATATTATTTAAAAAAATCCATTTCCCTTTATAAACTACTACTGTGTGGTTTAGCTTACATTTATTTCCAAAATTTATTGCTTCACTCAACTCCCTAGATAATCATATGTGAGATCCCTTTACCCCCAATCCAGTTTTTATAACCCAAAAAATGCTTCTGGAGTTTTTCGGAAAAACTAAAATATTTGTTTAAATTGGCATCAAGTTTGTATACCTATTTTAATGACGCAAGCGAAAAAGTACTCCCTCCATTTCAAAATATTTGAAGTTTTAGGTTTCTCCTAAGTCAAGCATTTATAAGCAAGTGTCACCCGCAAAAAAAAAAGCATGTATAAGTGCTATAGTCTATTGAAAAATATAGCAACATCTGAAACTCCGAATCAGTTTTGTATTTCATTATATTCATAATAAAACTTACCAGGCTTACATGGTCAAACTTAAAGAAGTTTGTCTAGGGACAAAGATAGAATTTCAAATATTTTGAAACGGAGGGAGTAGTATTTTTATGTTTACACACTCCGCAAATTCCTTACCAGGCTCACCTCACCTCACCTCACCACTCAGGCATGTAAAATCTGCTGAAGAAATAATGGAATCACTATGTTGGTTATATGTGAGCTAGCTTTTCATATAATTAGAATTTAGGACATTTTTCAATTATGTATCTGTGCAGCTTAATCAACTAGCAAAGGTATTACAACATTCCAAAAAAAACTGAAGAAAAGTAATTATGCCACCATGCAGGCCATCCGAGATGGAGACCGCACACGAGTCAGGAGCGAGCCCACAGAAAAACTTGGTCATCAGGGGCCAAGGAATATGCGAGAGGGACGTGACCTCGGGCACGTACGTTCTCGCCGCTGCAGGCCAAGCATACTACTACTCCCACTGCATGCAGACGACGACGACGACGCACGAGCAGGGCCACCACCTGCCGCCGCGCTCCCGGACATGGCAGCGCACACCTGCAGCAGGCGGTGGTGGCGAACAATCCGCTTGCCCCGGCTGCACGCCCGCGCCGCGGGAGCGGGAGCGGGACCTCGCCGCGCCAAGGCGTGGTGCTGGTGGTGACCTCGCACCCTACTGCGAGGTAAGTATAGCCGTCTACTAGCCCGTCTCGTCTCGCTGAGCCCGGCCCACCGCTGCAAAAGCGCTTCGGACGAGTCGCATGCGCGCGCGGCGCGTGGATCCTTGTGGCCCGTCGAGCCTCGCGTCGCCAATCTCCATGCATGTCCTTGTACCAGCTAGTCGCTGAGTCGATAGGTGGCAGCGTGCGTGCGTGCACTGAGGCACTGACAGAAGTGCTGCGTTTTGCAGGAGCGGAGCGGCGAGCTAGTCCATGGCCACCACGGTGTCGCGCCGGCCAGCCACGGGAGGCCGAGGGGCACGGCGGCGGAGCGGACCGACGGCGAGCCGTCTCTGTCGTTGACGCTGGAGCTGGACTCGGGGCGCCTCGGCGGGAGCGGCGCGGGGCAGTGCCGCACCGACGTCAGCGAGCAGGGCAGCTTCCTGACGTCGTCGGCGGCGAGTCTTTGCGGCTCCTGCTCGGGGCGGCGCCGCGGCGGTGTTAGCCTGGACCTGTCCCTTTCGCTGTACAACTGACTCCGGCCAGTGAGGGATCGAAAGTATGGATGCGGGTTTCGAAGAGATGGTATGTATTGGTGTACCGTTCCTCCTGTGTATGTGTACATTTGAACGTCTGGAGCTTCACTCCGATGCAAATTTTGTCACGGGCGGGCCGCGGTCACCGCGCGCGTGCACGTCGCGCACCGGCACTAGTGGCGCGTGCTCTGCTCCCCTGGGCTGGGGCTCCCCGCTCCGCCCCGCGCTGTGGGCACGCTACAGGTGGAGCGCGAGTTCCACCAGCATAGGAATAGCAATGGAAGAGAGGATTTATTCCTTATAAATAGCGTTACAGTCAGCTAATACACGCTTTTTCGCAATGTCTGGAATCCGATGCAACCAACAAGCGGTGCTACCTCCAGATCTCCCCACATTAGCTAGACTATGAGCAACACTATTTTGATTACGATATATTTTCAGCGAAACAAACCCATGAAGCTAAGGGGCTTCTTGATCTCTATCATCAGATGTCCATAGGTAGACAGGCCAAGCGAATCATCTGTCAACACAACGGTAGCAGCTGAGTTACCTGACTGGATCGCTATTGGTAGATCAGAGCGTTGCACACTCATAGATACTCCTTCAAGAATCGCGCTAACCTCCGCTTTCAGGGCATCTTTACAGTGGAACAAACATTTGTAAGCTGAGAAAATACAAAGCCATCGGAGTTTCGGAGAACCATACGAGTGCGTGTCTCTTTCAAGTATTAATCATAGTGGAAGAGAGGGATAATTACCTGGCCTTTTTTTTTACCATAATACAGTATGGTAAAAAAAAACTACTGTTTGTCACTTTCATTATATAAGGGTAACCACAATGTTACAATGGTTGATGGGAATGCAACCATAGAGATACAAGGTGTAAAGAAGAAAAATGACTAAAGACTATAAAGTAAAATAGTGGCAATTATTCATATGTTATCAATCCAGGATGACATGCCATCCTTAAGACTGGGCATGGCTCTAAGCATGGTTAACTTGAATGACCTGCGAAAGTCATGTCTGCATTCAGAAATGGAGCATGGGATACCCTCAAAACTCAGTCCATTCCTTTGGTTCCAAATGCTCCAACAGCCCACTATCATGATTTCCATAAAAAAAACTATGTTGGTACCTCTGCTTGGCATCCATGATAATGTCATGTAATTACCTGGCCTTTCCTGCGAAATCCCCTCTTTGTTTTTGTGAGGACATGAAATCACTATATATAATAATAAAATAAAGGCACCCCTTGCAAATAAAGGGCACCCTTTGCAAAAATCACTGATGTAACAAATGACGAATCGCATGTGGACGACTTGTTGCAATTAGAGAGTTTTGGTGAAATTTCTTTTCACACGCAGAGGAGATTGATGGGCCTATTTGTGTGTGTTTTTGTTGTTGATTCGATTATTTAAACGATCTATCTTTCAAACTCTGTGTGCAAATCACAAAACATTTTCACCTTTACATTCCTAGCGTCGAGATCTTTAAAACTAGATCTCATGTTGATAGGTTTTAGGGAATTCTTTCGACGGTTATGCTCTTAAACTATACAAATTTGTGCTTCAAAACTGTACTAACTAGTGCTTCAAAAACAATACTAAGTGTGCTTCACTTTTGGGTAAGCACTGTTGTGCTTTTTCACGCGAGAAGCATAGCTATGCTTCGCTTGTTGTGGAAGCACAATTTTGCTTTTCCACGCGACGGGAGGAGGACAATTGTGCTTCACGTGGAAGCACAATTGTGTTTCACTTTGGGGAAGCACAAAAACACAACTGTAATTTCACGCAGAAGCACAATTAAGCTTCACTTTTTTGGAAAGCACAGTCGTGATTTTCACGTGAGAAGCACAATTATGCTTCACACAAGCACAACTATGCTCCACATCCCCTAACATGTAAAAACCGAAATAATTAAACAAACAAAAGAAAAAGATGATAAAACTGGGAAAAGGGAAAAAAAGGTGAAACAACAAAAAAACTAGAAAATTAGAAAAATAACGTTCTGGTGGGAGAAGCACCAACGTGCGACACGCCGCTTGGTATGGGGGCGCTCCTGTGCTAGGGATTATCCACTCTACTTGCCCATCAATAGTCCGTCTTGCTCACAAAATCTTGGTATGAAGCCTCGACTACAATAGATGTCCAATAGATGTCCCCATAAGTAGAGTGGACAACGCTTGGTATGAAGCCTCGACTACAATAGATGTCCAATAGGGAACGCCCCCATAAGTAGAGTGGATAATCCCTATTGGACACCCACTTTGAAAGTGCTAGTTATCGACTAGAGGGGGGGGTGAATAGGCGATTTTTAGGAAAGTCTTCAAAACATGGGAGTTTCGAGGACAAATGATAGAAACAACCTAATTGATATGCAGCGGAAGATAAACTACAACAAGCAAGCCATAATCAAGTATGCAATAGCATTAACATTTGAAGATTAATAGCAGCTGGGTAGTAGGATCAGGATGGAAGATAGTATGAAGCCAATCAACAATAATAGTCAAGCAATGAAGTCAATCGGATAAAACAATAAGCAATGACTTCACGAAGACAAACTCAAAGTAAAGGAGGGAAGAGATAGAACCAATTGCTTGTTGAGGACACAGGATTTGTTGGACCAGTTCCAGTTGCTGTGACAACTGTATGTCTGGTTAGGGAGGCTGAGATTTAACTCAGAAGACCATGTCTTCACCTTATTCCTCTTCAGCTAAGGTCACTTAGTCCTCGCCCAATCACTCTGGTAAGTCTTCAAGGGAGACTTCCAAACCTTCACAGACTTCGTTCACTCGGCAATCCATAATGACTCTTGGATGCTCAGAACGCGACGCCTAACCGGCTGAAGGATACACAGTCCTCAAGTGTAATAAGTCTTCAGGTCACACAGACAGAAAGACTTCAGTGATGCCTAACACTCTTTGGCTCTGGGTGTTTGGGCTTTGTCCTCGCAAGGATTTCTCTCTCTCAAATGCTTCGAGGTGGGTTGCTCTCAAACGACAAAAGCCGTATACAAACTCTGAGCAGCCACCAATTTATGGTGTAGGGGGTGGGCTATTTATAGCCACCAGGCAACCCGACCTGATTTGTCCAAAATGACCCTAGGTCACGAAGGAACTGACACGTGTTCCAACGGTCATATTTCAAACACACACGACAACTTTACTTGGGCTACAAGCAAAGCTGACCCATCCAACTCTGGATAAGATTTGCTCTCATTGTCTTCGCTCGAAGACATAGGATTTGGGTTGAGCATCACTTCAGTCACTCTGACTTAGTTCACTTGGACCCCACTTAACAGTACGGTGGTTCCTATGACTCAACAATGAAGAAAGGAAACGACGAAACCACACAGTCTTCGCGCTCCATTGTCTTCACGTAATGTCTTCTCATGTCATAGTCTTCAATATGAATATCTTCTCATACCACCATTGTCTTCAATGTCTTCATACATTTTTAGGGGTCATCTCCGGTAGGTAAACCCAATCAGTGAGGGACACTACCTGTGTTATCCTGCAATTCTCACAAACGCATTAGTCCCTCAACCAACTTTGTCGTCAATACTCCAAAGCCAACTAGGGGTGGCACTAGATGCACTTACAATCTCCCCCTTATTGGTGATTGATGACAAACTGGTTGAAGTTTTCAACGGGGATAAAGTATGTGAAATTGTAAGGATAGGAATTGTCTTCATAAGTAGCAAGGGTTCCCCTTGAAGATGTGCATATTAATAATTTGCTTTTGGATTGCAAATGCACATGGCAGGTTGTACTTATGGAGATCCACTTCAACTTATGAAGATAATTCATCATGCATGAAATGGTATAACAAGTAGAATGACATGCATAATGAAAAATGAACGTCTGCAGGATGATCTAAGTGCGGAAGTTAGCATCGCATCGGAGTAAAGCAAACACGTAGCAGAAGTAGCAGACGACCATCAAGTTTAGGTGTTACAACTCAAAGAACCAAATGTATCAAAATGCAAGAGTTGTAAGCACGCAGCAAAATATAATGCAACCGCCCATATGAACCCGCTTGAAGACTATCAACTCATACACTTCTCCCCCTTTTGTCAGTAATGACCAAAAGGTTTGAAGACATAGAGCATCTACTCGTCTTCTTGATGAGCAGGTGAAGCAGCAGGGTTGTTGTCGTTGGGTGGCGGTGCAGAGGAACTTGGTGCAGTGTCGATGCGCGCAGTAGTTGGAGGTGGTGAAGTAGCGTCATCTTCATCATCGATCACTCTGGCATTAACTGTTGCCGCGGAGGAGGAATATTCAGAGTCTTCAAGAGATGGAGTTCTTCGTAAGACAGCATTCCATGGAGGAGTGTAGTCAAACTGAAATCTTTCATTGAAGCCATCGTCTTGAAGATCTGCTCCAGCACTAAGCAGGGTCAAACTCTTCCATGATCTCCGGCAAGTTTCATGAGCAACAAAGGCATTCTTGGTGGCAAGGTTGCGAATGCGATTGACATCCACCAAGAGGCTTTGCATCTATCTCTTGAGCCAAAAGTGATGTTTATCCTGTTTCTGATGAAGGGCCACAAGAAGTTCTCGGTCATTGAGAATACGAGAACGCTTGCGAGGCGTTTGGGCAATGGTGCTTTCAGTGGCTTCAGTGGACGCTCTGTGAGGCAGACGAGTGTTACCAGCGAATGGATAGATTCGTGTTGCTGCTGGAACACCTTCAATAGGCTGAGTGAAGCTTTGGTGCTCGATGTTCTGAAGACAAAGCGGCGTCTTGGCAGGGTCAGAATATATAGCATCAACTGACATATCAACTTCTGATAGAAATATTATATGATTGCGAGCAGAGGGTTGATAGTTGATAGTAGAGTGGCGCTTGATAAGGCGCATGACCCATGGAGCATAAAACTTCAGACCAAAGAGATCAGAACCGGAGGCAGCAAGTTGTCTTATGAAGAATTCCTAAGTGTTGAAGCTGATGCCATTGAGAATATAGAAGACCAAAGTCTTCATAGTTCCTTCAAGCTTGGC